TTTGAAGTCGTTGGTTGTAATACCGTAAAGATGGTAACCGGCGAAGTTTAACCATTCTCAGATATCCCAGTTACTCGAGACGGTAGTACGCCATGTAGTCATCTACCGAAAGAAAGGTATGGAGTAGATGTGTTTAACACTCGGACTATGGTCCGGACTCTAAAAGACAAGCTCATCATCCTTTGTGGACTACTCCGGTAAAAAGGGATATGATTGAGAGAGTGTCATCGACAAAAAAGAAATCGTTAAAAACAAACATCGACCCTAAACAGTACACTGACACAGGCGAAAGAATTATGGACTTGTACACATACAGAATGTTACGGTAAAACACACGTCCGGTTACCAAGAGGACTGTGTAAGGAATGATGTCTCCACATTAATTATTCTAGCTTGTTTAACATCAGGGATGAGATAAAAGAGAGTAACGTAACGTGTTCTAACCCTGAATATACTACACCTGGCCAACGACGTACAGGGTACCCTCGTTGGGGAGAATTCAAATTCTCCGGAGGCGGATCTACCCAGTGGAGATTGGGAGACACGGAATGTTGGACGAGACTTTACAAGTGACGAAGTGTGGATTTCGTTACGACTGTCATGAGAAGCGGACGTACTCATGTCCTTTGTGTTGGATTCCAGCCTCCGCACCACGACCCATCATAGCGAACGCCACGTATGGGAACAACTTTGACTCGGCAAAGAGAATGAGCACGCCTCACTTACTGCCAGCGCATGAGGACGTGACGACGCACACCGACGACCACCCATGTGCGACAACCGTAACTTAAGTCGGGATATCCCTCTCCCAACAACCCCACTTTTTCTGTCCTATTCCTCGCATTTATAATCGACCAAAAGACGAACCACTCCCTACGACACCCCACGCACGTCTACACCGCAAACCTAGCAAAGAGACTAACCCTCTGGAGTCGAGAGTCCCGAAAGTTTGTCCGTGGTACAGTCTCTGCGTAAGGAAACTAAAGACTGTCGTTCTAGTCCCGTCTCTTTGACAAAAAACGACCGACCACGAAAAGTAAAGGTGGCCTTGAAGTCACCTTAACTGACATAGAGTGTAAACAATGAGCACCTACCCCGTCGTTCAAAGAAAAATAAGGACAGAGAGAAAAAGTAACCACATGCGTTACAAGTGAAAGAGGTCGTCGTCGAGTAGGCTTCATGGAATAGACGTACTCCTCTCCGACGTCCAGTGAAAATTATAACAGTAAGACATCTGGTCAGTCCTGTCATACGTACTTCTCTGAGACCTGATCACGACCCAGTATAAAATCCAAACTGAGCCGAAGAACTCTTCGTTTGTCCTAAAAGACAGAGTACAGGTATCAAGATTAGTCCTTCAAAACTCCGCAGAAATGATGAGACTTGAGTCTCCACTCAACAAACATATTGAGACACCGTGAAAGAGGACCATTACTCTGGACTCTTAAGCCGCTTCCCGTCCGTCACATTCCAAAAGGAAGGGAAGTTCCATTAGGCGTTGGACGTCCGGACCACCACTACCGTGCCTAATGTCGTAGTTACTAGAGACTGAGACCCATCGGGAAGATTTCGGTAAAAGTTAAACAGACCGGTCTGATCTTTTACACTCGGATAGAAAAACAGGACCGAGCGGATAAACCGGACGCTAGAATCTAGAAACGCGGTGTATCTCGATGACCCCTCACGAACCTGGTCTAAAGAAAGACCCCCCGACTTGGGCCGTCCCACCAAGTACGAACACAAGTAATCCAGTACGTAACGTAAAAGAAAAAGAACATTCTGTTGGAATCACGGAGATGGAGGAAGACCTCTAGAAGGGAAAACTGTGACAAGTACATGTAAACAACATTAAAACCCGAAACAGATACTATAGGACGTGTAATTCTTCAAGCCTGTACGGAAGTAGGAGAACGAGCCGGTAAAGAAGTGCAAGTAATACGAGACACTGTACTCTTTAATTAACTGACGCTCTAAATGGTCAGTGTACGAGTAATGGCCAGGACCTTTAGAGGTCAAGTAACGTGTGAAATTAGTCAACAAGATGTCAGTCACATATGGTTACGTGGACATTGCAGGTCGACGTCGAGAGGTTAGTGGAGGTAAGCATAGTCTCTTCACCCGTGTTTTATCGTTTACTCCCCAAATAGAATGAATGTAATCCAAAGAACGACGAGTGATCACCACTGAGCAAGTGGGAAGTCCTGTCCAATGGTGCGAACAGACTTTTGCTGGAGCTGGAGCTGAAAGGTCGAGGAAAGAGGCTATGACCCCAACAGCAATTCCCCTACTAACTAGTCTCCTAGGTGACCTCGTTGAGTCCCTATCAGGAGTTTTAGTTTAGAGGTCGTCGCGGAGGTTACAATACGGGGATGTACCTTTTACATCTCTGTTCCTTGTCTCTGCTACAATAACGTAGTTCGATCTAGTCGTGTCGTGTTTTACCATGTGTATCGTGACGACTTAGTCTTTACCAAGCTTTTCTGTTGTGATTGATACGCGCATGACGTTGTCTTCTAGTGATAATTGTCTGTTATCTAGCAATTACGTAGTCTGTTTGCTTGTGATAGGTAATGTGGAGTCTTGCCGGCAAGGACCTCGATTTGGATGTGTTTAGTGACCCTTCGATAGACCGATGAGTAGTGCGTGACAACACGCAGTTTCACGCATTCGGTATGTGACAAATACTTGGTTCTGGACTCTCATCGTGTGCCATCTAGTTCCATGGAAAGTAGCATGTGAGAAGAGTAGGTACCTGTTAGACGGGCGACCGGGGTGGAGTGGGGGGCGGAGTGGCGGGGTGGCAGCGTTGTCGCGGGTGTGCGCTAGCGGAGGGCTGCGGCGGACTCCGTGTCGCGGGTGCGGTTTGTCGCGCCGGGCCTGGCGCTTGGGGGGCTGGCCTAGGCGGGGGGTACTGGCGAGTAGTGGAGAGCGGGGTGAGTGGGGGGGGGGGAGATGGGCGCGTGCGGTGGGCGGTGAGGGGGGGGGGTGGACGGGTGGGGGAGCGTCGTGCAGCGTGGAGGAGCGGGGCAGCGTGGAGGGTCGGAGGTGTGGGGACAGGGGCGCGGGGAGAGCGTGGAGCGGGAGTGGTGGAGACGTGGCGCGGGGGGGGGGACGAGTCGAGGGCGTCGGTGCTCGTTGAGTTTTCTTTGGATTTCGTGTGTACCGTGGGTGCGTTCGAGACGGCGCTATGAACGTCTCTTCGCCTCTGCCGTTCGATGGTGCAACTCCTGCTCGATACATACTCCTAGATTGGTGTTTCATGCCTCTTGGTTACTGGTACGAATGCTAACTTTGTCGACGCAACTTCCTTATGGATGGGACAGCGTCTCTTGTACTTCGATGGCAACTCGGGGCCTAATGGGTAGCACCTCTATGTTATCGTTTATCTAGGGGTGAGTGCGTGACTAGTTTTCATCTTTGGTTTATCATTTTCTCGCGAAGTTCGCGCGGTAGCTGCTGTTACGTCTCTGGTTCCTAGAATGGATTTACTATGGTGATACGGAGTGGTCGGTTGTTACTGATGTTCGTGGTAGTTGTTCGTGTGGATGGGGTACTGGTAATGTTTGAATTTCCACGGCTACCTGTGTGTGACATGGCGGTAATGGTGAAAGTTCGTCATGATACCTATACTCCCATCACTGTGAAGACGTTGTGGTAACTTGACTTGCATTTACGTGTATGTAATGTAGTTTCTTGTGTATTTTTCCTTTTAATGCCGTCTCCAGTCGTTAGTTTCAACTAACAAACTGTACTGACATTAAAATAGCCCGACGACAAAAAGTGTGTTTATTATAGTAATGTACTGTGACAACGTCAGTTATGTATGGAGTAGTGAGTGGAGCAAAATTGTCCTTTTCGACTAGTCTGAGTGAACGGTTAGATGTACGGCCGTTCGTGGTGTGACAGGGGTTTTGATTGTTGTTGCGGATCGTGGCGTCCGTGATACTAACGAGTGGTGTGATACACAGGTGTAGTTTTGAGTGTTACAGTACTTTCTTTTTGGGGTTGTGGTGGAGAGGGCGTTGTACGATGTGTGATATCGGTTAAATTGATCTGCTAAGTGAATGTGATAGTTGTGTTACATTAGATCGGATCTTGGAATTTAGCTGAGTAAAGCTCTTGGGCAAAGAATGGAGCGCGTGTTGTAGTGACGCGTTTGCTTCTATTCTTCGTTGAGTTTGTGTGTGTGGTGATGTAAGGTGCCTCGACATTTTTTTTGTTTTGTTTCTCGAACTACTCTTTATGAGTAGCGAATATCAGTTATGGGTACGATCCTGAAAAATGATTCGGTTCGGCCTGTAAATTTAACACATTACTCCATGGCACACGTGGAAAACGTGTCTGTGGTTTGTACTTTGCAGCTCGGCATTTTACTGCAAGTGATACAGAGTTGCTAATACCCATGCTAGTGCTAAAAGGTAACCAACAGCAGTGTCCCATTATTGGCTTTAATGTCATTGAGCACCTTGTGATAGCCAGTCAGCCAGGCCAGAAAAGACATGGGGATAAAGAGAAGCTTGTACAGGCAGTAAAAATTGCCTTTCCTCATCTTCGAAAAAACAAAGCAAAAGCCTTTATTAATGCTGTGAGTGTAGGACAGACATGTGACTATAACGTAAGAACAGCAAATGAGAGAGTTAGTGTGCCTAAACGTAGCTCCATTCAACTCGAGTGTCGAGTACAGGCTCCATTTTTCAAAGAGGATAAAACTCTGGTTTTTGAGCCAAATGAGAACCCACAATGGCCTGAAGGATTAGAGTTTTGTGATACTCTTGTGTCCGTGAAGGCAGATACAGTCCCAAGAATTATTGTTAGTGTGCAAAACACAACAAATCATGACATTACGATGGCAGCAAGAACTATTATTGGAACTGTACAGTCAGTCAGATCAGTATATCCTGCAAACATATTTAAAACAGACCAAAAACCTGCTGCATCAATCCATCATGTCAACGCCCAGATCTCCAGTGAAAGCCCCCCTGTGCATGAGCAGTGGGATCCTCCTGTGGATTTGACTCACCTTGATGAACACCAGAGACAAATAGTCAGTCAGATGCTAAGGGAAGAATCAGACTCATTTTCCAAGTCTGATGACGACATAGGCTGTGTGGAAAACTTGCAAATGAAGATTTCACTACAAGATGCTGTGCCAGTGTCAAGAGCCTACCGCTCTGTTCCAAACCCTTATACAAGGAGATGAAAGATTACTTACTGGACTTGATAGCACAAGGGTGGGTTGAAAAGTCCATGTCTTCCTACTCCTCTCCAATCGTCTGCGTAAGAAAAAAGGACGGAACTCTACGTTTATGTATTGACTACAGGGAGCTCAACAGGAAAACCCACTCAGATCGCCATCCCATCCCCAGAGTACAGGACATTACACCGCCGACGTATTATGTATTCTGAACTTCGTTCGATTGGTAGCAGAGACAAAAGGAAACAGATATAAAAGAAAGGGGTATAATCCCCGGTATTGTAAACCTCCGCGACGACCTCTTAAACTAAACTCCTGGTTAGGGACTCACAAATCACCTTAGAGACTAGTTAGTAGGGCGAATTTGGTTTGGGTCCAGTAGCGCCTCTTTCCGAACTCTTTTTCCGTCAGCCTCCAACAAAAGCATAAAAGTCTGTTGCAACCATTGGGGTCGCTACGTAGCGACTTCACACTTTTCAGTGGCTGATCCCTTCGTCGTTTTTGATGTATTATAATGTCCATTCATTGTCTATCTCTTCGAGAGACACGTAACGATGAAAGCAGGCTCGTAAGAGACTAGATGCCGTATGTTACCTCGACTTAAGACCTCCTTCGATGGTCGACCTGTAATGTCACTACGTAACATCTATTATGTGATCTGACATCTATCTGTTGAAGACTAATTTCACATCGGTTACTTGACCTCTAAAGTCTCCACTGGCCTATTATCTCGTACACTGACCATTAGAGCGTCAGTTAATTATAAGAATACAGGCTCAGTTACACGTCTTGTACTGTGCTTCAATGCTTGTCCTACTTCGTTACAGGCTTGAAGAATTACAAGTCCTATAGTATCTGTTTCGTCTCAATGTGTTTACATGTACTGTCACAGTTTTCCCTTCTAGAGGTCTTCCTCCATCTCCGTGCATTCCAACAGTAATGTTCTTTTTTCTTTTACGTTACGACTGGAGTTACTTGTGTTCCGTACTTGGTGGGACGGCCACATGTCGGGGGGTCTGTTCTTTCAGACCGGGTTCGTGAGGTGGTCATCGAGATACATCGCGTTCTAGAATTCTACGTCGGTTTATCCGCTTCGGGTCCTGTTTTTTCTATCCGAGTGTTAAAAGATCAGACCGGTTCTGGTTTAACTTTTACCGAAATCATTCCGATGGGTCTCAGTCTCTAGTAACTACGACATTGGCACGGTTAGTGTGGTTCCGGACGTCAATGCCTAATGGAACTTCCCTTCCTTTTGGAATGTGACGGACGGGAAGCGGCTTGAAGAGTCATCAGAGTAATGTCCTCTTTCCACGGTGTGATTCGTCAATATGTCTTGTTGAGTGGAGACTCCAAGTCTCATCATTTCTTTGCGAGTTTTGAAGGACTAATCTTTGATTACCTGTACTCTGTCTTTTAGACAAACGAAGAGTTCTTCGGCTCGAGTTTGGATTATACTGGGTGCGTGATTCAGGTCTCAGAGAAGTACGTATGACAGGACTGACCAGTGCTTACTGTCTATAACTTTTCACTGGACGTCGGAGAGGAGGTACGTCTATTCATGAGAGCCTACTCGACGACGACCTCTTTCACTTGTAACGCATGTGGTTACTTTTTCTCTTCTGTCCTATTTTTCTTTGAACGACGGGGTAGTGCTGCATTGTTTACACTTAATGTCAGTTTCAGGGTGGACTTCAAGGCCACCTATACTTTTCGTGGTCGGTCCGTTGTTGTGTCAATAGACGGGGTGACTTAGACGACAGTCTTTAGTTTCCTTACGCGAGACTGTACCACGACAACGTTCGGGACTCTCGACTCCAGAGGGTTAGTCTCTTTTGCTAGGTTGTTTGCCGGTGTAGACGTGGGTGTCGTAGGGAGTGGTTCGGGCTTTTGGTCGATTATAAATGCGAGGAATAGGACAGAGAAAGTGGGTTGTTGGGAGAGAGGATATCCCGACTTAAGTAACGGTGTCGCACATGGTGGGTCGTCGGTGGTCGTCGTCACGTCCTCATGGCTGGCAGTAAGGTGGGCCGTGCTCATTCTCTTTGCCGAAGTCAAAGTTGTTCCCATACGTGGCGTCGCTATCGATGGGTCGTGTGCGGGGCTGGATCCACACAAAGGACATGAGTACGTCCGCTTCTCATGACAGTCGTAACGAAATCCACACCCTTCGTCACTTGTAAAGTCTCGTCCAACATTCCGTGTCTCCCATCTCCCTGGGTGATCCGCCTCGGGAAATTTGATTCTCCCAACGAGGGTACCCTGTACGTCGTTGGCCGGTGTGTATATTCAGGGTTAGAACACGTTTAACGTTACTTCTCTTTTTCTCATCCCTTGATGTTATGACAAGTTGAACGTTTTAATGTGACATAACAAGATTTCTTCAGTCCTCTTGGTAACCGGACGTGTGTTTTTCGTAACATTCTGTATGTGTACAAGTCCATAATTCTCTTTCGCTGTGTCAGTGTACTGTTTAGGTTCGTGTTTGTTTTATAACGTTTTCTTTTTTGTCGATGACACTCTCTCAATCATCCCTTTTTCACGGAGTAGTCCACAAAGGATGTGCTTGTCTTTTGAGTCCGGGAGACCCTATGTCCGAGTGTTTAAACACGATATCTACTCCATACCTTTCTTTCGGTAGATTGACTACATGGCGATTCTCTACATCGTCTCGATTAACTGGGATATCTGAGAAATGTTTAACTTCGCCGGTTACCATGTCTTTACGGTATACAACCAACCGAACTTCACAGGAAATTTGAATGACGTTCACTATGTCTCAACGATTATGGGTACGATCACGATTTTCCATTGGTTGTCGTCACAGGGTAATAACCGAATTACAGTAACTCGGTGGAACACTATCGGTCAGTCGGTCCGGTCTTTTGGTACCCCTATTTCTCTTCGAACATGTCCGTCATTTTTAACGGAAAGGAGTAGAAGCTTTTTGTTTCGTTTTCGGAAATAATTACGACACCTCACATCCTGTCTGTACACTGATATTGCATTCTTGTCGTTTACTCTCTCAATCACACGGATTTGCATCGAG